ATGCTAGAAACATGCTAACAAAATGCTAGTAACTTGCTAATCATGTTAACAAAATGCTAGTAGCATTGCTAAACATGCTAGTAACTTGCTAATCATGTTAACAAAATGCTAACACCATGTTAGTAACATGCTAATCATGCTAGAAACATGCTAGCAACTTTGCTAAACATGCTAGAAAGAACTTAATCATGTAACTTGCTAACTTGCTAATCATGTTAACAACATGCTAGTACCTTGCTAGTCATGCTATCAACATGCTAGTAACTTGTTAATCATGTTAACAAAATACTAACACCATGCTAGTAACATGCTAATTATGCTAGAAACATACTAGTAACATGTTAACCATGGTAGAATCATGCTAGCAACATGCTAGTAGCTTGTTAATCATGTTAAAAACATGCTAGTAACTTGCTAATCATGATAACAACAGGCTAACTTGCTAATCATGCTAGAAACATATTAACAACATGCTAGTAACCTGCTAAGTATGCTAACAAAATGCTAACACCATGCTAGTAACATGCTAGAAACATGCCAGCAACTTGTTCAACATGGTAACAAAATGCTAGCAACTTGTTAAACATGTTAGTATCATGCTAATCATACTAGCAACATTTTATTAACTTGCTAATCATGCTAACAACATGCTAGTAACTTGGTAATCATGCTAGAAACATGCTGCCAACTTGTTAAACAATGCTAGAAACATGCTAGCATCATGCTAGCAACTTGCTATTCATGCTAGAAACATGCTAGCAACTTGTTAAACATGCTAGTATCATGCTAGTAACATGTCAATCATGCTAAAATCATGATAGCAACATGTTAGTTACTTTACCAATTATGTTAACAACATGCTAGTAACATGCTAATAATGATAGAAACCTGATAGTAACTTGCTAATCATGCTAACAACATGCTAACCATGTTAGAAACATGCTAATCATGTTAGCAAACATGCAAATCATGCTAGCAACATGCTAATCATGTTAAAACATGTTAGAAACATGCTAGTCATGCTAGAAACAGCCTAGCAACCACCCCAGGTAGCCTAGCAATATGTTTTTTACCTATCTGTTTTTCTGATAATCTGTATATATAGTCTTGAAAACATTCAAACTTTAATTTTTAAAACTATTTTAACTTTCAAACTACTTCAAACTGAAAACTTT